CTTAAGGGTTTCTATAAATAAATAGAATAACTGAGTAAGGAGCTCTATGTATCAGTAAATACAAGGGCAGGCACAGAAGAATTGAGTTCACTTATGTCAGAAGCTTTTGTTTGGATGCTTACCATGTGACCGGTGCTACAGTAGGTGCTAGATCTCAATTTATCTGATGCCATCTGCCTCAAGGAAATTACTCCTATTTCCTCTCCTCAAAAACAAAGCACTTTTGGAGGTGGTATCATTTTGTTATAGGCAATTCTCGTGATTCAGTCTTTCCATAACATCTTTTATCAGCATCTTAGCACTTGTGTTCTTCTAAGTGGTAGGAGTAAGGAATTGCTATCCAAGGCTTACATGAGGCACAGATAAATCTAAAGAGCTAAAAATATTATTTTGTCAAAATATGCTTCCTTAAATCAAGTAGGTGATATTATAGATGTGGAAACAAGATACTGACAGGAAGTAATTATTTTATATTGATGATAGAACTTTACATTTGTCTAATGTTCTTTTTCTAAAGCCCTTGGGTTTGCTCTGTTATATTATTCAGTTCTCTATAATCTTCTGATTGGTATTAAAAATAACTTTAAACTGTGTGATGTGAAAAAAAATGAAGAAAACAAAACTCTTGTAATTTCTGTACCCAGAGAAAACAAAAATCAGCCTACCTTTACAGATCCTTCCAGACTGTTTTTCTATAAACTCATTATCATTTCAAAAGTCATCCATTAACTTTTTGTTTTGCCTTTCTGGGTTTGCCCTGGATTGTGTCTTTTATATGTATTTACCTTACACCTTGAAGTAGCAATTTCCAGGCCTTTCACCTGAAACTCAGGCCCTTCTAGACAAATCTACTTGGTACTTCTACAATATCTCTAAACACATATTCTCTATTTTCCTTCTTGAGTTTTCAAGTTTGTCAATTCTTGACTCTGTCCTTTTTCTCCCTTACATACCGTACCAAATAATGCTGTTTCTAGGAGTAAATTCTCTCCCTAGGGTTCCGCTTCTCCTCTGCCCCAGTCTCCCACCTGCCTTCAGGCTCACTTTCACCCACTGTCCTTAGATTTATCCTCTTAAAACAGAGAGTTACAGAGTTCCCTCAACGGCTTCCACAGATACAGGATAAAACCCAAATCCTTAATGTGGCTAGGGCTTTCACGGTGGTACAGCGGTGAAGAATCTGCCTGCCACTCACTGCAGGAGATGCAGATTCAGTCTCCGGGTTGGGAAGATCCCCTGGAGAAGGAAATGGCAACCCCCTCCAGTATTCTCGCCTGGGCAATCCCATGGACAGAGGAGCTTCGCAGGTCACAGTCCATGGGGTCGCGAAGGGGTTGACACGACTTAGCGACTAAACCACGACGACAACACATGTGGCTTACAAGATCCTCCCATTTTAGCATCTCTCCTCCCCAGACTGGTGCCATCAAAAGAACTTAAACTGGAATTACTTTTGACTTGAAGTCTAAGCTCCACCTAGTGGTACAAGACAACATTTCTGGGTGGAAATCCAAGGAATATGAAAGGTCCACCCTGTGAGATCAAGCAAACCTGCCGACACAGGTGTCCAACAGCTAAGAGTAAAATGTGGAAAAGACAGGAACCCTGGGACTCAACAGCCCACCTAGTAGTTTTCTGTAAGCACTGGGTTCTCCTAAGGAAATGCCTGAAACCTCCAAACCAGTTATTAGTGCCATTCTCGAAAGAAGATGAAAAGTTATAATGGCATCTCTTTAGTTATTGTCACCAAATAAAATCACAGGATAATTCTGAATTAACTCTTTATTTGCTGCCTATATCTTTCCAGAATTTTCATGAAAGTCCAAACAATCACAGTATTCATTCATGTATAATCATCCACTCAATGCACATTTAAAGAGCACTTGTAAAGCAGATACTAACAAAGCTAATAATATAGGGTCTTATCCACACCAGTCTACAAACAGGAAAGAAAGTAGATAAATCCATGATGATAATACAGAAGGGAAATTTAACCTGTCCAAGGAAAGAGTGGGGTTCCTGGAAGAAATGATGACTGTGGTGGTTGGTGAAGTCTAGTAAGAATTAAGTATGTACACCTATAGCTGATTCATGTTGATGCTTGACAGAAAACAACAAAATTCTGTAAAGCATTTATCTTTCAATTAAAAAATAAATAAAATTTTAAAAAATTAAGTAAAGAGTAGAGCAAACAGTACTAAAGAGTCTCTTAAAGAAGGTCAAAGTGAAAAAGCTGGCTTAAAACTCAACATTCAAAAAACTAAGATCATGGCATCTGGTCCCATCACTTCATGGCAAATAAATAATGAAACAGTGACAGACTTTACTTTTTTGGGCTCCAAAATTACTGCAGACAGTAACTGCAGCCCCAAAATTTAAAGACGCTTGCTCCTTGGAAGAAAAGCTATGATAAATATAGACAGTATTAGAAAGCAGAGACATCACTTTGCTGACAAAAGTCCGTCTAGTCAAAGCTATGGTCTCTCGAGTGGTCATCTATGGATGTGAAAGTTGGACTTTATCAAGAAGGCTGAGCACCAAAGAACTGATGCTTTGGATCTGTGGTGTTGGAGAAGTCTCTTGAGAGTCCCTTTGACACAAGGAGATCAAACCAGTCAATTCTAAAGGAAATCAACCCTGAATATTCAATGGAAGGACTGATACTGAAGCTGAAGTTGCAATACTTTGGCCACCTGATGTGAAAAGCCAACTCACTGGAAAAGACCCTGAAGCTGGGAGGGATTGGGGGCAGGAGGAGAAGAGGGAGACAGAGGAAGAAATGGTTGAATGGCATCACCGACTCAATGGACATGAGAGGAAGAGATGGTTGGATGGCATCACCGACTCAATGGACATGAGTTTGAGTAAACTCCGGGAGTTGGTGATGGACAGGGAGGCCTGGTGTGCTGCAGTTCACCGGGTAACAAAGAGTTGGACACAAATTAGCAACTGAACAACAACAGAGTGAATGGTATTGCTTCAAAGTGCTACGCACACAACAGAGAGTAGCACCTTAAAAAGCTAGCCTAATACATCAGCTGAAGTTAGGAGAGCATCATGAAAAGAGAAATCTCAATGGAAAGGACTCTGTCAGCTTCCTTCAGGGAAACCCTACAGACCAAAATGTCTCGATTTTAAAATACTTTGTAAGCAGCAGCATTTAAAGTAGGATGAGAAGACAGTGTTTTAAACTGTGTGACTGTAAAAACCACACATTTTCAAATGTCCAATGTGTACACGGTAAAAGATCTAAGAAGCCATTTTCCTTACCCCTTTTTCTCTTTTTGGGATAATACTCAACACTGAAAATTTTAAGAGGGAGTTTATTAATTACACAGAAGTCTTTTTCAAAAGGTTTACAGTTACAGCTTTTTATAAAATGCTGGATGGCTTCAGATTAAAAGCATCTATGAAACTATGTAATACACAACAAATCACAGGAACCCAGTGAATACTACAAGCCACAGGCTTCCTGCTACAGATATCTCACCTGCCTCTGTCGGAGCAATGTCAGCAAAACCTCACTTATAACCGTCCGAGAACTAGTAGAAAGTTATATTAAACACACAGACCAGACCTGTCCCCGGTAACTGGCATTAACTAGGACCAAGTCTGGGGCCCTGTGGATCAAGTGCCTGCTACCAGCCCAGGTTTCATATGCTGGACTGCAGTTCATTCTCAGAGACCTCCTTAGTCTGCTGAGCCTTGCAATCCTCATTACTTCGTAATCTGTGCCACATCAAGTTTCGTCTCTGGTTCCCTTTCTTTAGGGGGTTTCCCTGATGGCTCAGATGGTGAAGAATCTGCCTGCAATGCAGGAGACCTCTGAACATACTCCAGGCTTGCCTGTGATGGGATCAGTAGGTATGAAAAGGATGGTAAAGCAAAACAGGAGCATGAGCTCCATCACGAAAGCAAAACAGGAGCATGAGCTCCATCACGCTAGACAAGCCACTGGTGCTAACACGACCGCAGATGCAACAATCATCCTCAGACACTGTATGACACTGTGGACTCATCTTAAGAGGCCTCTTAACTGCAACTTCCAAGTCATCATCATCATGGTCTTTTGCTTGTTTTTAATCTAAGGATGCCAGGCCATGTCTCCTCCATTTCCTATTGCCTAGCTGATACCAAACTGTGCAGGCATTTCTACCAAGACTTCTATGGATATGTCTATAAACATTAAGAAAAATACTTCTCATACAGGGTAAGTGACCATTAGTTAATAAATATTTATGAGCAGACACTATGTGCTAGGCACTGTGTTAGATGCTGGAAGGTAAGAGTAAATAAGACACACCAATCTTATTTAACTGTACTTCTCTTTATATAAGATTTTATTGATAAAACAGGCCTGGCAGCACATAGAAGCTGCTCAATAAACTGTTACTATTGTTTCAGGCTTCCCACCTGGCTCAATGCAGGAGCCTCAGAAGATGCAGGTTAGATCCCTGAGTCGGGAAGATCCCTTAGTGAAGGAAATGGCAACTCATGCCAGTACTTTTGCCTGGGAAATTGCATGGACAGAGGAGCTTGGTGGGCTGCAGTCCATGGGTTACAAAGAGTCAGACACGACTGAGCATGCATGTGCAAGAGTAACAAATACTAAAGTCCTCAAGTTCCACCTCTCACTCTCATTATTATTATATAGCATATTATAATATTATATATACATTATTATTATGTGGACTTCCCTGGTAACTCAGATGGTAAAGAACCTGGCTGCAATGCAGGAGACCCAGGTTCGATCCCTGAGTTGGGAAGACACCCTGGAGACGGGATCAGCAACCCACTCCAGTACTCTTGTCTCGAGAATCCCATGGCCCAGAGGAGCCTGGTGGGCTACAGTCCATGGGGTCGCAGAGTCAGACACGACTGAGCGACTAACACTACACTACTATAAACATGATATACTATTACCAGTTACAAATTATCATCTTTTAAAAATTACTGCAGTTTTAAAATGAAAATACCGCAGAGTTGCCATCAATACTCACCAACACTATAATATCTCTTTAGTTCTGTACGCCTGATCTCCTTTAACTGATTACTTTTTCTCTTTTTTTTCTCATCAGTAATGTACTCCTCTTCCACAGCAATGTTACACTTGTCTTGCTCTAAAATGACTTTACTAGCATCTTCTTTTCCAGAATGAGTTCTTGCAGCCATAGCTGAGGCTGTCTCTGCATTTTGTTTGGCCTGCTTCTTCTTTTTCAATCTAAGGGTGAGAAGGAAAAAAAACAAAAAACATTAGAAAAATAATTTGCTAAGAGAAATTATATTAATTTCATGCTATTGGGCTTTGAGAAACTAATTAACTGATATTGAAAACACGTTATATTATTGGTTTTTTTCCATCTGTTTATTTTTATATATTATTGTTAATTATACTTTCCTGTTATTTTTTCTTTTTTAATCACTTAAAAATTCTTACATGGAGATCTGTGGCCTTTCCTCTGTTTTATGTCCTCAATATTGATGTCTCAAAAACATCACTGGGAAATGCTTTAGACCTGAGGAAATACTAGATTCTTCCATAGGCTATAAGACATTGGGTATGTTGTTTACCAAAACGTACAGCTACTTTACTATCATGCCATGTTTAGTGTGTTTCTGGTCTCAAGGGTAACTTTAGACTGATGAGCAAGCATATTTATAAAAAACAAATCCATTATAATTGACTCACACACTGAATATAAAGGTTTGTCAAGGTGTGAGCTGGTTCAGGTTTGAGTAATTCTTTTCCTTTATACCTACGATAGTAGTAAGAAAGAGCTGAACTTCTTGGGATAGACAATACCATAATGACAATATCAACTTAGTATAATTACTAATATAAAAGCTGACTGATAACATTAACTTATTTGACAATTTCAACCTTTCACTCCTCAAAGACGTGTAAAAGGTTTACCATAATTCACTGAAATCCAGTAACTCAAAATATTTTCCAGTTGATGTATCATTCTGAGTAACTGACATGTCACTCCGTACTCACCAGTCCTTCTTAAGAATGTTTTTACCTCCCAGCATGTAAAGAGTAAGGGCCTTGGCCTCCACTGTGTGAGACAGGCTGGTCACATATAAACATTTTTAAAATTAGGATTCTTTCCCCTCTTCTGTCTAGGCACAGTCAGCTTTCTCACACACAGTCTCCTTCCTTTACTCCTGGGAGCATCTACACAATTTGATGTTGGGCAGTGGATGAGGAAACGTTTTGGGAGGAAAAGGAGAAAACTAGGATCAGAAAGGGACTACAGTTTGATTTTATGCTGCTTTGCTCTGTAATGTTGGCCAAATCAATTCAATAGTCTAAAGAGGTCCCTCACTGAGGCTTGGCTATCTCATGCAATCTTTTATCAGGATGAACTGAAATAATACATGTCAACAATAGAACACACGCAAACAGAATATACCCAAATACAATCATATGATGACATGAGAACTAACTATGGCATGGTATACAACACACTTAGCTTTTGAGATAACAGTCTCATGTTCTAACAGATATTTCAACTAGGCTGTCATTCACTTAACACTGAGCAGGCAAGTTCTTAGATTTTCACTGGCTAATAAATTAGTATATGGCCTAAGAGAAAGCACAGCTAGAAAAAAAAATCACAGATGGATCTACTCCCCATCTCTGAGTTTAGCTATCTCTTTAGGTTTACTTGTTAAAAAACAAACAAACAAGCATACAATCTAAACAAAATTGGAAACTCATAAAAAAGAAATTATACCCAATAAACATATTTTTATTTTGTACCTTCACATTCTACACTGGTTTTTTTTTTTTTCAGGTAAAACACTATGTAGCTCTTTGCAAAGGTAAGTCAGATAATGCTCCTAATGAAACAATTTCTTGATCAAGATTTCTGTATGACGTTGAAATTAATATGCAGTGGTGGCTTCCCAGGTGGTTCAGTGGTAAAAGAATCCACCTGCCAATGCAGGAGATCAAATTTCAATCCCTGGGTCGGGAAGATACCCTGGAGAAGGAAATGGCAGTTCACTCCAGTATTCTTGCCTGGAGACTCCCATGGACAGAGGAGCCTGCTGGGCTACAGTCCACGGGGTCACAAAGAGCTGGACATGACTGAGCACGCGTGCACAACCTAGGTATCACACAGAGATCAGCTGTTTGCTTAGGGAGGTCTATGCAGACAGCTGATTTCTGTATCCAGAAGGACATACATATCTTGGTTTAACAAAAACATGCCTGAGATGAATGTTACTGCCCACTTCCTAAAATGATTCCTTCCAGAGAGGAGAGAAAAGAGATTTCCAAAATTAGTTCTTCCCAGCCTGAGATAGTTGCTGCCTCTTAATCTTCTGACTTTTTCCACTGTAAATTGATCTAAATGTCCTCATTTCATTGTTCCCATTATAATTAAACTCACTCAGATCTAGGGCACATGTTTTGATGAACAGCAGCACTGTTTGGGGACATCTCATTAGAGACTGTTTTTCACAGGTGGAAATAACAAAATGGGATACATTGTTACATTCACTTTCCCCCTTTTCCATACAGACCTTTATTGTCAAGCCATAGAGCCAAACATAGGGCTATTAAAAAAAAAAAAGCTACATAATAGCAATACCAAATTTGCATAACAGAAGACAGAGTACAATTTTACACTTCGGTGATTTTACAATCAGTTACATCTTTTGTTTTGACTACAGAACTCAGGAGAATTTGCTTCTCTGGAGGTTATAAATATGAGTAGAGCATTCTGACCTTGTAACTGGAAATCATACTGTGAGTTCTGCAAGCCCACTGTAAAATCCTTCTTCAAAGCATGAAAATAGATTTTTAACATTTACCTACAGGAGAATAAAAAGAAAGGCAAAATCGTTGTCTGAGAAGCCCTTACAAATAGTTGTGAAAAGAAGAGAAGCAAAAGGCAAAGCAGAAAAGGAAAGATATATCTATTTGAATGCAGAGTTCCAAACAATAGCAAGGAGAGATAAGAAAGCCTTCCTCAGTGATCAATGCAAAGAAATAGAGGAAAACAATAGAACCGGAAAGACTAGAGATCTCTTCAAGAAAATTAGAGATACCAAGGGAACTTTTCATGCAAAGATGGGCACAATAAAGGACAGAAAAGGTATGAACCTAACAGAAGCAGAAGATATTAAGAAGAGGTGGCAAGAATACACAGAAGAACTATACAAAAAAGATCTTCACAATCCAGATAATCATGACGGTGTGATCACTCACCTAGAGCCAGACATCATGGAATTCAAAATCAAGAGGGCCTTAGGAAGCATCACTACAAACAAAGCTAGTGGAGGTGATGGAATTCCAATTGAGCTATTTCAAATCCTCAAAGATGATGCTGTGAAAATGCTGCACTCAGTCTGCCAGCAAATTTGGAAAACTCGGCAGTGGCCACAGGACTGGAAAAGGTCAGTTTTCATTCCAATCCCAAAGGAAGGCAATGCCAAAGAATGCTCGAACTACCACATAATTGCACTCATCTCACACGCTAGTAAAGTAATGCTGAAAATTCTCCAGGCCAGACTTCAACAGTACATGAACCGTGAAATTCCAGATATGCAAGCTGGATTTAGAAAAGGCAGAGGAACCAGAGATCAAATTGCCAACATCTGCTGAATCATCGAAAAAGCAAGAGAGTTCCAGAAAAACATCTACTTCTGCTTTATTGATTACACCAAAGCCTTTGACTTTGTGGATGACAACAAACTGTGGAAAATTCTTCGAGAGAAGGGAATACCAGACCACCTGACCTGCCTCTTGAGAAATCTGTATGCAGGTCAGGAAGCAACAGTTGGAACTGGACATGGAACAACAGACTGGTTCCATATAGGGAAAGGAGTATGTCAAGGCTGTATACTGTCACCCTGCTTATTTAACTTATATGCAGAGTACATCATGAGAAATGCTGGGCTGGAAGAAGCACAAGCTGGAATCAAGATTGCCGGAAGAAAACTAAGGAGCTTCTTGATGAAAGTGAAAGAGGAGAGTGAAAAAGTTGGCTTAAAGCTCAACATTCAGAAAACTAAGATCATGGCATCTGGTCCCATCACTTCATGGCAAATAGATGGGGAAACAGTGGGTGACTTTTTTTTCTGGGCTCCAAAATCACTGCAGATGGTGACTGCAGCCATGAAATTAAAAGATGCTTGTTCCTTGGAAGAAAAGTTATGACCAACCTAAACAGCATATTAAAAAGCAGAGACATTACTTTGCCAACAAAGGTCCGTCTAGTCAAGGCTATGGTTTTTCCAGTTGTCATGTATGGATGTGAGATTTGGACTATAAAGAAAGCTGAGCCCCAAAGGATTGATGCCTTTGAACTGTGGTGTTGGAAAAGACTCTTAACAGTCCCTTGGACTGCAAGGAGATCCAACCAGTCCATCCTAAAGGAGATCAGTCCTGGGTGTTCATTGGAAGGACTGATGCTGAAGCTGAAAGTCCAATACTTTGGCCACCTGATATGAAGAACTGACTCACTGGAAAAGATCTTGATCCTGGGAAAGACTGAAGGTGGGAGAAGGGGACGACAGAGGATGAGATGGTTGGATGGCATCACCGAATCAATGGACATGAGTTTGTGACAAGGAGACTTTGTGACTCTCCTCCGGGAGTTGGTGATGGACAGGGAGGCCTGGTGAGCTGCAGTCTATGGGGTCACAAAGAGTCGGACACGACTGAGCCACTGAACTGAAGGGGGAATAATTGCCAATCTGATAAATGTGGTATAGTTAATGCTCTTCAAACATTCCTTTCAGGACTTTTTATCTTTGAGGCCTTTCCTTCTGTTCTTCAAATCAATATCACTGCAAGACAGTCCCACAGAAGGGTTCTGTTATCACTAAATTAAGGTAAACTGGAAACAAAAAGTTCTAGAAGAAAATAAACTCCCTTTATTTCACAAAGCTTTTTCAATGACCCCAAATGTACACATTTACATGGCGGACTAAAAAAATTACCTGGAAAATTATCTTAAACAGACAGGTGATTGAAAATAATGAAACATGTTTAACATATAATGGCTGTGAATGTGGGGGAAAAAAAACAAACCCTAAAAAACAAAAACCTCTTGTAATGCTCTATTTGTCTTAAAAAAATAAGCAAATAAAAGGCCACAGTGACATAAAACGAGTGTTTATTTCTAAATCCCCTGTCGCTGCTGTAACCCAGGCCTGTCGATTCTGTTTCCTGAATCTCTCAAGTTCACCTCCTCCTCTTGGTTT